CTCTGATTAGCCTTTTGGGTCAGCAGGGCCACAGAGCTCCGCCGTCGTTCTGTAATACCACAGGAGAAAGCTCATGACTCAGCAGCGGTGTGGGGTCTGCGGAGAAACATGTCCTGGGGGTAACATTGTTGCCCATGCTGGTAGGGACGCCAGAGTCTGACTACCAGCCGAGCTGAAATGCAGACTCAGGGACCTTGCTCCTTAGGAAGACAAAGTTGAGATAAATGTGGGGAGTTGGGTCTGAAACCCCTTTATCTGAAGGGTGTGTGGAGGGCGAGCGTTATCAAAACTGCTTCTCAGTGTGAAATGACTCACGTGCTTCTGATGCTTCAGGCAAGAGTAAGATGTTCCATTCTCATCAAAATCATTCCCAGCGGGGTGCCTGGGTGGCTCAGTTGGTTAAGCGACTGCCTTCAGCTCGGGTCGTGATCCCAGGGTCCTGGGATCGAGTCCCGCGTCGGGCTCCCTGCTCGGCGGGAAGCCTGCTTCTCCCTCTCCCGCTCCCCCTGCTTGTGTTCCCTCTCTTGCTGTGTCTCTCTCTGTCAAATAAATAAATGAAATCTTAAAAAAAAAAAAAAAATCATTCCCAGCGGCACTTTCTCGTAATCTATGACTTCAGAGACAAGGTTTGTCAGCACTGTGTCTTTCATGTTAATTAACAAAAGGTTTTGGTTTCTGTTCGTTTGTTTTCACGGATTTTCCTTCCTACCTGAAGTAAAGACTTAGTGGGGGGATGTTACCCATTAGTGGGGTCCACAGAAAAGCAAAATGTCCTGCACTTGAAGGGACCATCTGCTGTTAGAGTTGGATTTTGTTTTCAGTCTGTGTTGCTTTTGAAAGGCAGAATCAGAAGAGGATGATGTTTGATAATCTCAACCTTCGCGGTGCTGAGAACAGAGGGTTGAAACAACTCACTGGGGGACTGGGGAATTATGTATGAACCAAGGTCGATGACTAAAAGGACTTCCTAAGATTAGGGACCCCAGTAACAACCCGGGTGTGTTCATTCAGGAGCCTCCTGTTTGCTCTGTTTGCAGCAGTCAGAAGGCTCCCAAACTTGTTTCCTGGGGCTTCAGGGGAAGCTAGGAAGGTGGGAAGCTGCAGTCACAGAGGTGTGTGCAGCTAGCCCCAGCGACTGGGGAGAGGGTAAGGGCGCTACTGGGGGAGATGACACCAGAGGAGCCTCAGGGACCTGCTTCGAAGAGAATAGAGAGGAAGGAAGAACAGAGCAAGTTGGGACAGAGCAGAGCCCAGGGGTTAAACTAGAGAAAGGCTGAGCAAGCTTCCCTGACGTACCCACATTTGACCATGGAGCACTTAGCATCACGTCTGGCATATAAATGTTTAATAAATTAATGACTGAATTCATATAGTTTGGGGACTCAGAAATGTATCAAGTCCAACCTTTGCTGAGTCTGTGCATCAATTTCTTACACGTTTGTGTGTCCTAATCTGTAAACCCATGAACCTCCTTTTGGTTGCAAAGGAGCCTCAAATCCATATATGGATCACACATTGTCTTTGGACAGAATAAACATGTCTCCCACAGCAAATGGATGTAGATGCTAAATGTAAGTCAATATAATTCTATTTAAAAGCATTGCTTAGCTCACAGCAGCTTTTTGTCATGCATGTGTGGAAAGAGCCACAATTTTTAAAACAAAAGCTCGTTAAAATTAAAAAGGTTGGGACCACTCCTTTCCAGCCTCAACTAATGTTCCTCGCTCATTTAAGTTTCATCCTTTTCCCCAGATTTCCACTCTTTGTACTGTTTCTGCCCTCAGGAAACCACACAGAGAGAAGGGTTAAGATTAAAATTGCCTCCCTTACAAAGCCCATTAGTTATAGATACTCTAAGTATATTTCTATTTAAAAATTCTTTTTTTTTTTTAAGATTTTATTTATTTATTTGAGACAGAGAGAATGAGAGAGAGAGAGCACATGAGAGGAGGGAGGGTCAGAGGGAGAAGCAGACTCCCTGCCGAGCAGGGAGCCCGATGCGGGACTCGATCCAGGGACTCGATCCAGGGACTTGATCCAGGGACTCCAGGATCATGACCTGAGCCGAAGGCAGTCGCTTAACCAACTGAGCCACCCAGGCGCCCCTCTATTTAAAAATTCTTTTGTCCTGTTTGCAAACCTCCTAATCAGAAGAGGGGGAGCTCCTTTTAAAGAGAAGAGGAGCGGAGATGGATCTGGCTCCTGTGAAGTGTGAGGCACAGGTCCTGACTTGGGGAATGCTAGGTAGGTGGTTCTCGTGGCCTGCTTTGTTAACACCCGGTACCACAAACACCTGGCCCTGTCTCAGCCATTCAGAAGCTTCACCCAGCAGGACGTGCCCAAACTTCGCTGACAGATCTACAAGGAGCTGTGTCACTGCAAATTCACCGTGTGAGCCTCGTATCCCAGACCTCAAGCCCATTCATTAATGGGCATGGTGACATGGGGGACCCTTCCTTCCCAAGAAACTCCAGTTCCTTTTCTCTCTTGCCTCTTCCCACCCAATTTCCTTTGGTTTTTCATATTTAAATGTTTTAATTGATTTCTGTTTTTTTTTTCTTAAAAAAAAATAAAGAAAAGAAAAAAAAAATAAAGAGAAGAGGAGCAACAAGGACTCATTATTTTACAAATGTAGGGGTAAGGCACTGTCTTTCTTCACCCTGAGCTCCCCAAGGAGCACAGGGTCTGTGTTGCATGCTTTCTCAGATGTTTTGTGTTGGTCTGTCTGGCATGCTCTTCATGCTGTTGGACAGGGAGTCCAACCTGAACAAGATGAACCACCGAACCTATGGCTTCAGGACAACCCAGAGTACCGCCAGTGGCTTCTCCCATGAAGGACCATCTGAGAGAGTAGGGGGGAGACGCCTTAATGTTTAAGGTAGGTCCTATGGAGTGAGTCTGAGTTCATCTTGTGAAAAGGTGGAGGAAGGGTGCTCTAAGAAAATGGAATAGCATGTGCAAAGCTTGGCATTGAAAGATTATGGTGTGTTTGGAAAACAGCAAAAAGCAGATGGGGCTAAAATAATTCTAGTAGAATGCATAGCAGCATGAAGAGAGGAAAAAGTAGAGATGGATTGGTGACAGAGCTGATGGGGGCTCAGACTGAGGAGGTGAGAATGAAGACAAGAAGTTGAATTTTTTTTTTAAATATTTTATTTTTTGACAGAGAGAGACAGCGAGAGAGGGACACAAGTGGGGGGAGTGGAAGAGGGAGAAACAGGCTTCCCGCGGAGTGGGGAGCCCGATGTGGGGCTTGATCCTGGACCCTGGAACCATGACCTGAGCTGAAGGCAGACGCTTAACAACTGAGCCACCCAGGCACCCCAAGAAGTTGAATTTTTAAAAAATCCTTTGGAGGTAGCATAAGCAGGATTTGACAATGGATTAGTTATTGCCAGGAGATCCTGGAGTGAATGCAACCCAGAGTTTAGGATATGAGGAGGAGGATCCATTAAATGGGATGGCAAATACAGATGGTAAATCAGGTTTGCGATGTTCAGAGAAAAGGGTAGTAACACGGAGCTGATGGCAAAAGCTAGGAGAAACACCAAATCCAAGCGTATGTTCTGGGAAATGGAAGTGAAGAGGATGAGACTTAACTTTTATCTGTAATACTGTATTCTTCTTATTTTCAAAACTAACTCATATTTGGGGTGGTACACACAGGTACTTATATTAGTTTCTGTAGTTTATAATTTCCCCAAAATTAGTGCTTGGAGTTTTTTCTGTAAGAGAAATTAAATAATGTATCAAGAATTTGGAGTACCTACTGTGTGCTTGGTACTGTTCCAGACATTTGGGATATTTGCCCCCTTCCTGGTTTCTTGCTTTCAGAAATTACCAGGCCTGGATTTCAGAAATTGCGTCTAGTTTGGGCTTGGCCAGAGGCAAGTCGCTTTTCTTCCCTGGGTCTCTTTCAGCTCTCAAATCCTATGGTTTAATAGTGTAACTGGACCTCCACATTCTTTGCTCTCACATAGGTGGACCCCACAATGCAGGCTCTTGGCCTAAACAACACCATACAGAGAGTGTACAGGAAGAAAGTTTTCCAAATGGTCCTTTACACCTCTGCCTCCCACCCCACCCCACCCCGGCTCAGAATAACAGATTTTCTTCATGGGATTTCAAATTTGCAAGGGAATCTTGATAATCTTCTTGGTAATAGGCAATGAGTAGGGAATTTCATGTCCTAATTCCAGTAATTATTGCAGGATTTATAAGCATAATGGCCAAGAAAGAACTCTTGAGACATTTTACAGTGCGACTTACTAAGCTTATTTAAGTAGCACGGGGACAGGACTCGGGGGTAGAAAGAGCGGCCCTTTTGCTGTATGAAGCTGGTCCTTAAACGCATAATGCTCAAGGCGGAGGGGAGGGAGGGGACGTGCGGGGAGTATTCGATCCTAAATATCTTCTTCGAACTTCTTCTACTCATAAAACTACTTTCACGGGATTTCTTCGGTGCTTATCATTCAGCTAGATACTATTGGTGAGAAGTATAGGCAGTGATGAGACCCTTTAAGAATGTAGCAACCAGTACTATTTGATCCTTATCAGAACTATGCAGGCTGTAAGTCAGCCCTCTGGGCTAAAGGTGAACATTTTTTTGCTTCTATCCCTGATCATAATCAACAGCAGCAACTTCCATACATTCAGTACCAGCTCTTTTAGGTTCCGTGGAGACCAGTTCAAAACAAACCAAACTGCTTTCGTGCAGTTTACATTCCAGTGGAGGAAGACATTTAGAGAAGAGAGTGAACACCTTAGCGCACTGCACCACGACGTAGAGCACAGCAAGGGGTGGGCAGTCAAATACCAGCCCTCCGACTCCTACAGAACCTCAACCCAAATCAGCCCTTCCGGGTCACCGCCCGGCCCTCTGGCCTTCAGACTCCGCCCACCTCCGGGCTCTGGCCCCGCCCACGCCCCTTACGTCAATTTTCTAGGCCTTGACGCATTGGCCTGGCCAATGGAAAGCCGACCTGCTCGGGCTCCATTAAGGCCCGCCCCGTGAGTCGTCGCTCGCCGAAGCCGATGGGCCCCGGAGGCTGTGTGGCGCGGCGGCTCGCGTCGCTGCTGTGGCGTAGGGCTCTCTCCGCGGCAGCGGGGCCCTCGGTGGGCTCCGGGCCGCGGCTTGGGCTGCTGGCCGCGGGGCGGCTTAAGGCGGGACCGGCGCTGGGCCGGGCCTGCCTGACCCCGGACCGCGCGCGCGGCCTGCACGGCGGACCGGGCCTGGAGGAGCGGGCGGAGGGGGCAGCCGGTCGGGGGCGCCCGGAGTCGGGCACTGCAGGTACGAGCCTGGAGGAGGGCGGCGGCGGCGGCGACCCCTCCGGGCAGCCGGGAGCCAGGTCTCTGTCGAGGAGCCTCTCAGTTCCCCTATTTATGCATTTTCTCTTGGAGTCACAGAGCTCCTACAGCTCAAGAGCTGGAAGGGACTTCAAAGATGTTGGCATCAACTTTGCGTTTAACGGGCCAAGAGAGAAACTGACGTCTCCGAAACCCCAGACGTCCGAATGGCCGCATCGGACCCTTGGCATCACAGCCTCACTGTCCTCAGCTCCCTTCATACTCTTCCTAGAGTCCCGAGAAGTGGACTCGGCAAAAGTGTGAGGGCGTGAGGATTCTGAGGAATAGCTAGGGCTGGAGTCCAAGAGATGCATAATCGCTAATAGGAGACGGGGCCAATTGAAGGTCCTCTAATTATTGCAAGTTTTTAGAAATTTGAGAGATTGTAAACAGATCTCATCTGTGAAAGGTTGGGGTGTGAGGGGGAGAGGTCTTAGTGGACTTAGCCACCGGGTTCTTGGGAATCAGTTTTAGAACGTAAGAGAGCTACAGTTTATAGGTTCTAATACTCCAAGGTAAAGAACAGAATATGCAAATCTCTGCAGAAAAAAGAAAGGTAAGTTTTCACAGATAACAGTTGCTACATAACCCAAATGGCTTTATAAGAAAACCTTGAGGATTCAAAATGAAAATCACCGTTAAAGTTTAGCTCTCACTGTTAAAGTTTTAGCTCTCCCCAAGGTTGCCTTGGGGCCTACTCATTTATTCTGCTAGGCCTAATTTTCTTCATCTCTCAAGTGTTAAGATTGTGGACCAGATACTAACTAAGAGCCTTTTCAGGTCACAGTTGTAGTTCTGTGTATGTTGGAGGTGTGTCGCTCATTTCCTCAGGTATTAGTAAACAGAAAGCCATTTGTTGTGGATGTATGGTTTTACTTGCATGTGGTAATAGCAAAGGATGGATGGTGGCTCTGTGTAACCTGAACATTCACTCTTCCCATAAAAGTTGAGTGATGCTGTATGAAATCACTGCCCAGGTTTAGCTTCCAGGAGGCCTGGACGCTGCTGTCTTTCAAAACATTTTAGATCTAAACACCCTCATAGAGGAGCAGTTTCATTGTTAGCTGCTGCATCTGGATGCATACAGAATCTCCTGCTTGGCCACCTGACACAAGTGAATCTTTGTGCATTTCAGATCATACCGGTCCCAAGTTTGACATCGATATGCTGGTTTCACTCCTGAGGCAAGAAAATGCAAGAGACATTTGTGTGATCAAGGTTCCTCCGGAATTGAAATATACAGATTACTTTGTGATTGGTAGCGGAACTTCCACCCGACACTTGCACGCGATGGCCCACTACATTGTGAAAATGGTAGGATGCTTTCTTTTCTCTTTGGAATCATTAACTTAATGGAAGAGTGTCAATGCATCATGCTGAGGAGCAGCACTTAAAAAGTACATCCATCGTGAGGTGATGTAAGAAGCCCAGATTCTCAGTATTTGCATGAGTGTTTGATGTTCGTTGATAGTGAAAGTTATGGGGACAAATGAGTCAGGATATTTCTAATTCTGTCTCTTGTGGTCATTGAATTAATTAATTAATTAATTAAAAATATAAATAAAAATATAAAAATAAATAATTTGAGGCAGGCTAGAAGACAGTATAACCCAAAGGAATTTCTAGAGCAGCACTGTTCATTGTGGTAGCCACTAATTATAAAAATTCAGTTCTACAGTTGTACTAGCCATATTTCAGGTACTGAGTGGCCACATGTGGCTAATGGCTACCATATTGTACAGCACAACTATAAAACGTTTCCATAATTGCAAGAAGTTCTATTGGACTATGTTGGCCTGTAGTTTAATTCAAATGTTTGAATGTGTCCAGTGTTTCCAAGCACTGTGCTGGGTATTGGAAGGATGGAAAAGATGTAGTCCTCACCCTCCAAATTCATAGGTCTAGTTGAGGAAGGGGAAGGCAGTTCATTTTCTAATTAGACTGAATAGGAATCAGAGTGAGGAATATACTTGGAGGCCTTTAGCTGATTCTGGTAACACTCTAAAGGGGAGCATAAACTCTCTCAGCTAGTAGAAAATTAGTCAGACGGTTAAGACCAAAACAAAGTTAGATCTGCCTAGAGAAGGGTGGTAAAACAAGAAGGGGACTGAAAACAGAACCCTGGTGCAATATTGCAAAGCAAAGGAAGATTCCAAAAAGTAGTTGGAGAGACAGAAAGAGAACCAAGAGGGCATAGAATTGTAAGAGTTATAAGACAGGGTCCCAGGATCTCTGTTAGATGTTCTAGTGGGACAGAGTAAGATGAAGACTTAGAAGTGACCATTGCACTTGGAGACATAAAAGGAATGAGAGGTTTTACATTTTAACCATTTTACCATTTTTTAAAGTGTGCAGTTAAGTGGCATTAGTTACATTCACATCATTGTGCAGTCATTTACCACCATCCATCTCCAGAATGTTTTTCATCTTGCAAAACTGAAACTCTGTACACATTGAACAGTAATTTTCCATTCTCCCTCTCGATCCTGGCAACCACCATTCTGCTTTGTCTCTCTGAATTCAACTACTCTTAAGTACCTCATGTGAGTAGAACCATACCCTATTTATCATTTATGACTGGCTTATTTCACTTAGCATAATGTTTTCAGGGTTCATCCATGTTATGGCTTGTGTCAGAATTTCATCTTTTGAAGGCTGAGCATTTTATTATATGTATAGATCACATTTTATCGATTCATCCATTTGATTTTCATTTGGGTTGCTTCCGCCTTTTGGAGATTGTGGATATTGCTGCTATAAACGTGAATGTAGACATGTCTATTCGTGTCCCTGCTTTTAATTTTAGGATTGGAATTGCTGGATCATGGTAATTCTGCTTTTAATTTTTTGAGGAACCACCATGCTCTTTTCCTTAGTGGCCGCACCACTTTATGTTCCCACCAGCAGTTCACAAGGCTTCCAGTTTCTCTGTATCTTTGCCAACACTTCTTATTTTCTGGGTTTTTGATCACAGTAATCCTAATGGGTGGAAGTGGCATCTCATTGTGGTTTTGATTTGCACTTCCCTGATGATTAGTAATGTTGAGCATCCTCTTACATGTTACTGGCCATTTGTATGTCTTTGGGAAAAAGCCTAACGAAGTCTTTTGTCTATGTTTTAATCACATTGGTTTTTTTTTTGTTGTGAAGTTGTAGGAGTTCTGTATTTATTCTGGATATTAATCCCAAAACAAGTATGTGATTTACAAATATTTTCTTTCATTCTTCAGGTTGTCTTACTATTGGTAGTGTCCTTGGATGCACAAAAGCTTTTAATTATGATAAAGTCCAGTTTATCTGTTGTTGGGCCTGTGCCTTTGGTGTCCTATCCAAGCAGTCATTGCCAAATTCAGTATCATGTGTCAGGAAGCCTTTCCGCTGTGTTTTCTGCTAAAAGTTTTAGGTCATATGTTTAGGTCTTTGATTGGTTTTAAGTTTTTTTTTGTAGATGGTGTAAAGTACAGGTCCAACTTTGTTGTCTTGCACGGAGATGTGTAGTTTTCCCTGCTCCATTTGTTGAAAGGACTGCCCTTTTCCCATTGAATGAACTTGGCACCCCTGTTGAAAATCGTTTGATTGTATGGGCTCTTTCTTTTATTCCACTGGTGTCCCTTGCTCACTGGTTTTGTTTTTAAGGTTTTATTTATTTATTAGAGCACAAGCAGAGAGGGGTGGGGCAGAGGGAGAAGCAGGCTCCTCACTGAGCGGGGAGCCTGAGGCGGGGCTTGATCCCAGGATCCCTGGATCATGATTTGAGCCTAAAGCAGATGCTTAACCGACTGAGCCACCCAGGTGCCCCACCCTTTTTAAAAAGATTTTTATTTATTTGAGAGAGTACACAGGTGGGTGGTGGGCAGAGGGAATCTCAAGCCAACTCTGTGCTGAGTGCATGGGCTGTCACGTGACACAGTCTCGCGACTCTGAGATCATGACCTGAGCTAAAACCAAGAGTTGGATGCTTAACTGACTGAGCCACCCAGGTGTCCTGCTTGCTCACTGTTTTGATTATGAAAGCTTTGTAGTTAGTTTTGAAATCAGTAAGTTGAGAGCTCCAACTGTGTTCTGACTTTTCAAGATTGTTTTTGGCTATTTGGGGTCCTTTTAGATTACATATAAATTTTAGGATGGAATTTTCTACTTTTGCAAAAAAAAAAAAAGTCACTGGGATTTTGGTAGGGATTGCATTGAATTAGCTTTGGGTAGTACTAACATTTTAACAATATTAGGTTTTCCAGTCCATGAATAGAGTGCCTGTTTGTTGATGTCATCTTTAATTTCTTTAGCAACATCTTGTAGTTTTCAGTGTACAAGTCTTTTGTCTCCATGGTTAAATTTATTGGTAAGTATTTTATTCTTTATGATTCCATTGTAAATGAAATTGTTAATTTCCTTTTCAGGTTGTTGATTAGGTAGTGTATAGAAACACAGCTGATTGGGCATGTTAATTTTGTATCCTACAACTTTGCTGAATTCATTTATTTTAACGTGATTTTGTGGAATCTCTGGGGTTTTATACATATAAGTCGTGTTGTCTGTAAACCATGATAATTTTATTATTTCTTTTCCAATTTGGTTACCTTTTTTTTTTTCCCCTCCCTTGCTCTAATTTCTCTGGCCAGAACTTCCAGCACTGTGTTGAATAGAAGTGGCAAAAGTGGGCACTCTTGGCTTGTTCCTGACCTTAGAGGAAAAACTTTCAATCTTTCACCATTGAGTAGGATAATAGCTGTAGGCTTTTCATGTATGACCTTTGTTATCTTGAGTTTTATCTTTTCATCTTTTAGTTTGTTGAGTATTTTTATCATGAAAGGGTGTTGAATTTTGTAAAATACTTTTCTGCATAAATTTGAGATGAACCTGTGGCTTTTGTTTTTCATTTTGTTGATGTGGTTTATTATATTGATTGATTTTCATGTGGAACCATCCTTCCATTCCAGGAATAAATCCCACTCAGTCATGGCGTATAATCCTCTTAATATGCTGTTGAATTGGGCTTGCTAGTAATTTATTGAGGATTTTTGCATCAGTGTTCATCAAGGATATTGGTCTGTAGTTTTCTTTTTTCTTTTTTGTAGTGTCTTTTGGCCTTGGTTTCATGGTAATGGTAGTTTCATAGAATGAGTTATGAAGTGTTGCCTTTTCAGTATTTTGGAAGAGTTTGAGAAGAATTTGTGTTAGCTTTTGTTTAAATGGTAGAATTCACCAGTGAAACCATCTGGTCAGGGCTTTTCTTTGTTGGGGGATCGTTTTTTTTTTTCTTTTCTTTTTTCTTTCTTTCTTTTTTAATTGAGATATAATAGTGTTTGGAGGTTTTCAATTTCATCCCAATTCAATCTTGGTAAGTTGTGTGTTTGTAGGAATTTGTCCATTTTGTCTAAATTACCCAGTTTGCTGATGTGTAGTTGTTTATAGCACTCACAATGCTTTTTTTTTAAGAAGTTATGTCCCCTTGCTTATTTCTCATTTTAATTATTCGGGTCTTCTGTTTTCTCTTAGTCAGTCTAGCTAAAGATTTGTCAGTTTTGTTTATCTTTTTCAAGGCCCAAATCTTGGTTTCATGGATTTTTATCAGTTTTGGTTTTCTTTAATCTTTGTTTCCTTCCTTCTACCAGCTTTAATTTGTTCCTCATTTCCTAGTTCCCTAAGGTGTAAATTTAGGTTGTTGATTTGGGAACTTTTTTTTTTCATGGAAGCATTTATAACTATAAATTTCCCTCTTAACACTACTTGCTCTGTATCCCATTAAGTTTTGGTATGTTGTAATTTAATCTCATTTGTCTCAAGATATTTTCTGATTTCCCTTGTGGTATCTTCGACTCATTGTTTTTATGGCTTTTTGGTTTTCCTTCTGTTCATTTCTAGTTTCATTTCATTGTGATCAGAAAATATACTTTGCAATTTCAGCTTTTTAAATTTATTGAGAGTTGTTTTGTAGCCTACATATGATCTTTCCTAGAGAATGTTACATGTACACTTTAGAAAAATGTGTATTCTGCTTTTGGGTGGAATGTTCTATTAATGTCTGTTAGCTCCATTTAGCCTGTAGTGTTGTTCAAGTCATCTATTTCCTTATTGATCTTGTCTGGTTTTTTTATCCATTATTGAAAATGAAGTATTAAGTCTTCTATATTGTTGTGTTGTCATCTGTTTCTCCCTTCAGTTCTGTCAATGTTTCCGTATGTTTAGGAGTTCTGATTTTTGGTGCATATGTTTATAATCATTATATCATCTGGGGTATTTGACCCTCTTATCACTGTATTAGTATCCTTCTTTGTCTCTTGTAATAGTTTTTGACTTAAAGTCTATTTGTCTGGTACTAGTGTATGTTGTTTTGGACCATTCATAAGACCTGTTGGGAATAGAGACATGGGATGATAAAATCCCATGAACATTATCCTGAAGGTGGTTGATGTACATGAGGACCAGATGTTAGAGCTTGGTCCTCTCTGCCTCAGAGACACCTTGGTGGATATGAGTAGGATGGCCCTTTCAGAAGGGTTTGGGCAGGAGGATTCAGTAGAGAGAGGATAGGAGGTAGGTAGGATTTGGGGGGGGGGGGGGAAATAGTGTCCTCAACTTGTTTATTATGGGGTGTAGTTAATTTGAGAACTAGCCTGCTCATTCCTCTTAAGATCAAGAAAAATACCCCCACAGACCATCCTCAGTGAGAACAGACTTCCTCCACCCCCCCCCCTAATATATAATCTGGCTTTTTTCAGTATAAATACCTGAAATGTAAAAGTGAGCCTCATGTTAAGATTGAAGGGAAGGACACTGATGACTGGCTGTGCGTGGACTTTGGTAAGTTATTTTGACATATTTTACAGATAAATACTTGTTTTATCCTAATCTTGAACTATTTTCAGTTGCAAAAGGATTTGAGATTGATTGCTTTTTTTCATGTGAAATTTTTATTATTTGTTTACAGTAAGTTTTAATTATAACCCAAGAGGTCTTACTAGCATGTGAAATCCTCACCTAATGTGATACGTATATAACTAGCCATGCAGGTCAGAAAGATGGTGGAGAGCAGAGTGGATAACATGGGAGAGGTCCCACAGTGGTGGTAGAAGGCTTGGCGTGTACATAACATTGGCCCAGAATGACTGTAATGAGGTGAAGGTTAAAGGGCATTCCAGGTAATGAGAAGGATAAGAGCAGAGGACTGGTTTTGAAAAGACTTAATAAATTTGGGTATTAATATATACATAGTTTCAGAGTATTTCCCCCACAAGATACTTATTAAAAAGGAAAAAACAGTAATTGTTAAGAACTGTGAAGGGTCTGAGATTTTATCTTATAACAGGTTAGCTGCGCAGTTTCATGGGTATTAGTCAAAGACTCCAAGCTATTCCTGGGTTAGAGATGAAGGACAGTTTTATTACTCATCATAGTAACAGTAGCAGCATTTTTTTTCCTCACCAGCTTCCCTGAGCCCCCGTTTCTAATAGAGAAACCCAGGGCCAGATGACATCTGCAGACAAAGTTCTGAGAGGAACCCGGTTTATAATGGGCAGGAAACAGACCCACAGAAACAGACCCACACTTGCTGTGGTGGAAGACACTTTTTCTGCTAAGGCTGAGGACCACGTGATTCAGGTGGGAGTGGGGAGATATAGCCTGTGCATTGTAGGATGTTTAGCAGTCTCCCTTCTCTTCTCCAGCCCCATTTGTGAAAATCAAAAATGTCCTGAGAACCCCTGCTATAAGTAAACCTGTCCTTTGCTCCGGAGGGAGATGGCCTCTGAGACTGTTCACTACACGGTTGTCCTTGAAAAGATAGTCTAGAACAAAAGGCAATCCATGCTTTGCTCATAGGATATACAGAAATGTGATACCCATGGAGAGTGAAGTCAACATCACCAGGAATGTTACATAGTGCTCTCATGTACCTCCTGTATGATGCACTTAGAAAAGCAGAACGTCATTTCTATGGTATTTTTGTAGGAAAGGTATCCATAATTTGCATTTCTAGTAAATCCCCAGGTAATCCTAATCTGGGGTCCATACTTTGACAACCACTGTTCTATCACAGAGGTTTGTGAGAGCACAAAAATAAAAGCTAATGAACTGCTTCTTTATTTTTAACTCTTATCTGTCCTTGATTGATAGGCAGCATGGTGATTCACTTGATGCTTCCAGAAACCAGAGAAACCTATGAATTAGAGAAATTATGGACCCTACGTTCTTATGATGACCAGTTAGCACAGATAGCACCTGAGACTTTACCTGAAGACTTCATTCTTGGAATAGAAGAGGACACTTCATCCCTGACTCCAGTGGAGTTCAAATGAGAATAAAATGATACGAATTGTTTTAGTCATTATCAGAATTGGATTGAGTTACTTCTTAAAAATACAGCTCTCAAACTCCACCTGATTGGTCAGGTTGTTGTCAAAACAAGCCTTATCTGTGGGCACACATGCTAAATAAATGAATGTGGAAAATTGTAGGTAAGTGAGCTGATTGTCACACCAAGAATCAGTACATTTAAACTAAAATTTTAATATATTGTTTTTATTCCTGAGATCCCAGCAGGATTTCCCAGAGTTAACATTGGCCCCTGTACTCTGCCCAGTTTGATTTTGCCTAAGTGTAAATCTTATTCTGGAACAGCCATTTTTTTTTTTAAATAAAGCAAAAAATATAACCACCCCATTGGTCTTATTACTTAAAACTTACAGTTCTTACTTCATAGGCACCAGTAGTATCAAGATCCACAGTAAGTACTATAGAATGAAGAGAATAAGGTAAGCACCAATATCTAGTGGTAAATTGAGATTGACATAGTATTACTTAAAAATCTGAGTTTATAGCTTGATTAAATTTGAACATTCACATTTTTTCGAAAAACCAGAAATAAAACATACCATACACCAGGCTGCACCTACTGATGAAAAACTTTATTCTGCATCAAGGTATCTGGAAAACGAAGCTGCATTTGGGGCACATTACAGATGAGGAATGATCCATGTGCGGTGAGTACAAAACTCAATTACATAATTAGATACTCCATTACCATTGCTTAATTAAAGGTAAAACATGATTTGCTAAAGGCTAGAAGTGAAATATGATAGAATTTTAAACCAGCAGATATAAATGCAGCACCTATCTGTATATATATATATAAAAAAACAACAAACATGGGAAAAATTAAACACTGAGGAAGAGCTCTGGCCTAAGCACATCTCACCTGAAATCCAACCAGAAAGCCAGTCTATGATTTTATTTTTGCAATTCATTATATGAAAAAATTATGAATGCTAGGTGAATTGTGTGACAAAGGGCACTTTTTGGCTAAAACTACAAAATAAACTGGTTTTCTGAAAACATTAAGGAAAACATTTCAAGTCATTTTGAAAATGTTTAATTGATAACAGTGATCTTCAGAAAAACGTTATCTAGTCTGTAGAAATTCATCTTGAAATACAAAGGAGCCCATATTTTTCAAAGGCTTATTATATATGCCCTTCAGATCAGTGTGATAATGATGACTGATCATTCAATGAACAAAAGCAAACAATTCTGAGAGCACTGTGGCCTTGGAGACCACCCACACCCACATAATTGTACATACTAGGCTCTGCCATCAAGTTAAGGAATGGGCACATGAATTCAGTATCCTGTATCAAAGGTCAAATGTGTTCTCACAGTCAAATTATATTCCAAATATTGTTTTCTGGTATCCTCTACTTTTTGACTTTTCAAATAATTGGTTGCAGAGAATACAGAAATCCTGCTGTATTTTATGTAATATTTTAGGTGGCCTTATCTTTTTCTTGATTGATCATTGTTTAAAAAATCTTCAAAATAGCTTAGTGAGGCTCATGACAGTGCCTGGCACATGGAGATGTAGCCTTGATACTGCCCTGAAACACTGTCCCACCGTCTGAGTACCCCATTGGTCTTCACGAAGCAGTTCTGTCGGGGTCTTAAAGTGTAGACCAACTGGTCTGAAGCGTGTTGGCAAACTAAGCATCCTGTAGGACAAGCTGAAGCTTGCTTTTTGCCAGAGTCCACAGGGGCTGCATCTCTTCATTGATGCACTTTAGGTAGTGATAGTCTAAAGCACAAAGCATTTTTATGCATTTAATCACGTACCCAAACAAAAAAACTGAAGTCTCCTGAAGCCATTTAAACTAGCCGTTCCAAAACCTCCTGCAACCACTTTGCTCTGTTAGTACCATCAAAAGAGTTCCCTACCATAAACGAAAAACTAAATGGTATTGCTGCTCTCCAAATATAGGCACTGCTCCATATCACTGAACATTTATTGGACTTTCCAACTAATGGTGTCAAAAGCCTCAAAAAACCTGAAATTAATTTTCCAGCTTTACGGTCACCAGCCAGAAGTAAAATTTTTCTGTTATTTTCCTGTTAGCTAATTAAAGTTTTTTAAAAAACTGTTGGACTTTTATCTTTATAAAGTATATAAAATTTTCCAAAACAAAAACAAAAACAAAAACAATTTGCTTTCATTGCATTACTGAATACCTGAGGTAGTTGAGTAAAAATGCACGTTTAATACCCCTGCCAACACCATTCAGCACTTCCCTTAGGTTATTCATGTTAGTGTTAGATAAAAATAAAACTGAGAACAGTTTTTCTATGCTAATAGCTTAAGTTCCTGTAATCATTGCATTCTGATCCAATTTTAACAATTGGACTTGGGAGCAATCTATATTTTATGAATTTAGCCGATTTCTGGCATTAGGGGGGTATATTAAGAAAAATTAGAATATTTGTTACACCGAGAATACAACAAAAGGGAAGTGCAGAGCTCCTCTCTTTCCCTCCCTCCCCCCACTTATTTATTTTTTTAAAGCTGGGTGTCATACATTTCAGAGAGCATAAAGTATACATTCTCACAGAGACAGGAGTTCAAAAGTTGCCTGGTCCTCAGAAACAACTGGCTAGGTAAAAACTTGTGCATGTAATTCTGGATATTAGGGGTTCAGCGCCCGTCTGTTGGTTAAGCAATCTGTCTTTGGTTTGGCATCTGCCTCTGTGGTGGGCTGTTTCCTGAGCCTTTACTTCCGTCTTGACTGAGGTGGTCCACTTTGCAGAGCTTTCTGCTGTTGGTGCTGTTTTACCTGAGTCAAAATTTCCTGAATTTTTCTCTGGGCAACCTGCAAAAGGAGAGAGATTTGAAATTTCTACCTAATCAAAGGTTACTAAAAGTGATTTTACTCTTCCATTTTAACAACTCCAGATTTGAAGGTTTAAGATTCATACTAGTTTCCTAGTAGTCTGAAATTACCTGCTAAAAAGGGATTAAGTGTGTTAAGCACCAAACAACGCTGAAGATTTATATGGGGTGGGGGCACACCCACAGGAGAATTGCTTCCATTTGGGAAAGCAGCAAAAGAGCTTGCTTATCACATTAGAGCCCACTTGCCTGGCAAGCATAGAAGTGACCAGTTATTTTCACAACCACTTGGTCATTCTCATCAGGTGTCTGGTCACGAGGGACAACTACTTCTGCACTTGACAAATTCTGGAGCTCATTCACCTGAACAAGATAAACACAGATCATGTTAAATTGAGGTTTTAAAAAAATTACCATTTGCTGAGCACTTACTATGTGCCAAACACTAAACTGTGGCTTTACAAATTTCATCTAAACCACCGATAATTCTATCAGGTTATCAGTACTGTGCCCATTTCAAGATGATAGTAAACTAAGACTTAGCCAAAAAAATTGATTTGACCCATTACACAAGTGAATGGCAGAACGAGAATGAATCCCTGAAAGTCTGATTCCAAAGTGGATGCACTCAGTTACTTCAAAATTATAAATAGCTTTGAAAACACCTTAGAAGTTATATGTGCTAAAGAGAAACTCACAACCATTTGCTTTTTTGTTACAGAGGTAGGTTATCAAGGTAGATGACATTTTAAGAAGTTTTCTTTCCATCAAGTGTGCAAAAATCAAAAGCTGAAGTTACGTCAACCAAAAATGCTAAATGCCCCTTGTACATGAGAGTCCTCCCACACAAAGTGGGCTCGAAGCAAGGCATTACTTCAACTAGTGCTGACACCAACAGGAAGAACGGAAGGCAGTCTTCTCCAAACCTTGGCCCAGATGATCCTGCTTTTTACAAGTTAGCCCAAATTCAGGGACTTGGAACTCCTAAGTACCTTTCAACGCTTTCCCTTTCATACCACTGCACAGGTTTTGCTGAAGTACTTGCCGTTTTGCCTCCTTTTCCAATAACTCTGCCAGCAGCAAAGGACGGCACTCTGATATGAGCTTCAAGTTTCACCTCTTCTTTAGGACTAACAAAGTTTTCTTCTTTAATTTTTCCATAAATTCTTCCCTGAGCCTACAGATGAGAACATAGTCTATCAGTGTCATTCATGAAGGTCCATTAACTTCAGAGATGGCCCAAATCCACTGGAATGGCTCTTGGTAGGGACATCTGCAGGGGACAGACTGTTGCAGATGGCTTAAGAGGCAAAGTTAGGAAGGTTCACAGTAACAACCAGGCACCACAGAGGTGGCAACTGAATGACTGACCAAAGAATACGATCTGTTCTTTGAACAAAAAGAATTAAAGCCAATTAGTACTCGGCCTAACTAAAAATGAATCACTTTTGTGGGCAAATGGCCATTTGCCCTCAGATTGTAAAAGGTAAAATCTTTCCTGCTTTCAGTAAGAAAGTAATTGCGTTCTTCTTGAGGCTAAGAGACGGGGAAGAACTGCAGAGGCAGCTGTGGCAGGCTCACACCTGCTGAAAGGATATTTTCTACTGAAGGGTTTCTTCATCTTAGCCGAGTGGCTTCTACTTTGAATAAAGCGACAAAATCAGGTTGACACACACACTTATGATACTTATAGTCAACACATCCTGATACCTACTGCATACAACGAGACATTATACTTAAACTTCTATTATGTACAGCCATTAATTTGCTTTAGTATATACCAAAGGATAAAGAAGTCAGAGTTGGTTTAATCTGACAAGCTACCAGGGTATCATAAAAACGAAAGTCCCCAACACATTTTACATTTTCATTGATGCAGAAATAAGCTCATTAGAGGGAGTTACAGAAAAAACAAAATCCATCTTGGTACCCTATATTCCATTCATTTTCAAAGTCTCAGGCCACAGATCTAGGTATTAACACAGTCAAAGGACATAGGGATATACATCTCTCTTCCAAAACAAAAGCTCTCTAATTCATCAGAAAAAATATGGGATAGGAGGTTTACCACTCCTTAGATCTCTAAAATAATTCACTTGTAATTATCACTGATCACATAAATATTTAAGCATTACAGCTTTTCTTAAATATTCCATTTAAGATGACTATACCATACCACATGGGCATTGAAGGACACAGGGAAACAAACCGAGTTTCCCAGCATACAATTACAGGAATTATAAAATAGTTCCATTTATAAAAAAGAGATCAGCACCAAGAAGAAACACAGTAACTGATGTCTATGTTTATCTTTTAAGATTTCAAACTAAAAGTGACTGATCCTGTAGGTTTGGGATAGGAAACAGTTTGCAACATTTATGAGTTAGGATTTCAACTGCCTGGACCAGAAGGCTGGTGTGAGAGACTAAATTTCTTCACCTGAGTTAGAGCCTAGCCAACCGCACCCACATCTCAAAGCACCTCCTTTTGTTTCCTGTTCTTCC